CATAAGTAATCTCTTGCGCAGACGCAGCTAATAGCTAGTCTCGGTAAAATTGACTGACGTGACAGAAATCGGTCAGGGGACATTTTATTATTATTATTATTATGTAGCACTCGGTCCGCAATGACAAAAAGGCAGGTTAAGAAGAACCACTTGCTCGACGGTACATAGCATAATTCTGAAGCATGGTAAATTGAATGTGGCAGAAGAAGTATGAAAGTAACATGAATCCAATAGAGACGTCATCTAGAGAGAAAACTGTGCGGAGTCAGTTTAACTGATAGAATCCACAATAAATAATTATAAGATTTCAATAACGGTAAAAAAGCGGATAATTGGAAAAATAATCGCAAAAAGAAAATTGTCCCGCTCACGGTATTTAGTTTGGTAACTCAGAACGAATAAATGACGTAAAAGGACGAACTAATGGACTATAAGTAAGATCTACGACGGAAGTGTTGGAAAAAGGCAAAGTAGGGGAAGGCTTCGATAGACTTTTATAGACTTCATATTTAAAGAAACTCAGGTTAGATAAGGAGTAAGAAACTCCTCCGGTGATCATATGAGAATAGAATGGTGATGTAGTGAAAAAGTAAATCTGGAGAGGAAGAGTTATTTAAAGCTATTCACGAAATGTTAAATTGGTAATATTAAAGTTTCTTATTAAACTAGCAGTACTCGCGGCTTTACCCGCGTTCAAACTACTAAAAAAACAAACTCTTTGGCTTTATGTCAAAACTAATAATAATTTGATGACAGACCGATTGCAACGCCACCTACGGAGTCCATTTTTGAATTCTAACCTTGCAGGGACCAACTTGAATTTACACAGTAAATATAATTAAAATCTTGCCTGCCGATTAGAAGAAGATCAGAGATACGCCGACTGCAGCGCCACCTACCGGGTCTAATTATATTTTTAAACCTTCTAGGTACCCATTGAAATATACACACAAAATTTCATCTAAATCGATCCAGCCGTTTAGGAGGAGTTGGGTGACAAATACACGTACAGAAGAATTATATATATTAAGATATAAGAAAGAATAATAATAGAAGAGTAAAGCTCCATTTTGGGCTATTTACGATTTATTTTTTGTTTATATTGTAAGTAGTTTTATTCATCAGTTCTAAGAAGATATCTTCTTTTTGCTTGGATACGTAAATAGATTTTCACTGGCATGTTTTTTTCAATGTATTGTTACTTTTACTTAACTTTCTATTCCTAAGTGTTGACTTAAAAAAACGTGTGTGTATACTTATGTACGCACGTAAGAATTTATACTTCTTTGGCGTAACAGAACAAAAATAGCTAAAGATTTCATCCCGAATGTCATAACTTTCTCTTTGTAAAAGGAATGCAAGCTAACTTCATCATGTGGCTTTCAGCTAATTTCATAATGTCGCTTTCAGCTAACTTCATCATGTCGCTTTTTAGCTTTCGGTGTGCGCGCGCATCGTAAAAATTTTACTCCCATATTTTTTTCCAAAAGTGCCAAAGAAGTATTACTTAAAAAATTTACGTTTCCTATTACATTGATGCCCACATTTCAATATCGTTAACAAAATTGGGAGTAGTAGGGTGAGGAGACCTTATGTTTTAACTAGTGCAGTAGAGTCTTTTATTCTTTATCTGCTGTGAATAACTTTTTTTCGAAATTATCTACTTTATCTTTTATACTAAAATTTTATTTTTTGTTTATGAATGGTTTACCTTATTTCAATATCAAAGAATGTGTTAACTAATTAGAAAAATTATATATTAGTACATTTTCTCACCAAAATCAATAAGTTGTTCAAACTATCTGAATTGGACATTTTAAATAAATGAATATAGTGGCAAAGATCAATTTTCACACGAAGTGAATTGTTCTAGTCTGAGTACCACCTCATTCTACATACTTGTTATGTATACTATCGAGTGTTTCTGGAATATTACCAATATGGAGGAAGGACAAAAATATACGATGAAATTTAAGATTGATATAAGATTAGATGTAGGTAACTAAAAAGGTAGTTACTTGTACATATGAGTTCTATGAAGGCAAATCCTTTTCAGAGTTTATCAGGGAAGATAAGAAAGTTTTTCTTATTAAGTATCAAAGGAACTGTAGTAAATACAGAAATTAGCGAGAGTATCATCGCTGGAGCAGTGTGTAAACATCTAAAGTTTGAAAGTGGCGTCGCGTCGCCGTCCCGTCGAGCAATCTTGTCGACCCGCAACGTGTAACTTGCTTCCTTATATTAGTCCGCTATATAAACTTCTGCCATATTAATTTTACTTCAAAACTTAAAGTGTCCACTTCCGTATATTCATGGCGCCGATAGAGAAATCCACGAGCCCTTTTTATTAAATTCGATATAGGTTAGAATATATATTTTATAATTTAATATATGCACAATGTATATATACTTATACCTACATAATTTATGAACAGCCGTAAATCACCTTTCATGATAATTATTGTGTGATCTTAAAAGACATGTTTTTGTAATTACATAATACCTATTTATAGGTAAAAAAAGCACAGCTTAAGATAATTCAGATAATAATTTGAGACTGCTATAATTTAATTAGAATATTAGTACATACTTAGTAGAAAACATATCGTATTAAGTTAATTTTTTTTCTCAAATATATAAAATTATGTATTAGGAATGATTATTATTCGAAGATGCCAGAAAAAATAAAACAATGAAAAACCATTTAGGTACAAACTCCGTTGGTACACTATTTTTCAAAGAATTACCATTAGATATATATTATTATGGCTCAGTTTTGTAAAAGATCAAATTTGTTCGGCTGATGAGACAACGTTTTAAAATTGTTATTACGGTGAAGTTTGAAATAATGTCAAGTATTCAGGGTTTGTCATTTGTTCAAAGCCCTTCTGATCGTTGGTTCCAGACTTTGAAGCTTTTTTTATATAATAATAGCCCGAGAGTCTGCCTTTCTGTTAAGGATGAAACTTACGACCACTTGTAGCCAATAAACTTTTTTATTCACATATATTGGTTGATGTACGCTTTGGCATGGTATACATAAACATTTATATTTAAGTTTTATAAAATCCTTTAGACGAGAAATCTTCATTAATAACATATAGCATTTTTGTTAATTTGGTTTAATAGTGACATTAGGCTATTTTATATCCTGGTACAAAATGTAGTTTTTGTAGCGTTCCTACAAACTGCGAATAAAGATGACATCACTAGTATGATATATTAATAGGAAACATTTTGGAAATTATACATATTTTGATACGTTTGGAAGAAAATATAAGTAAAATTATTACGATGCGCGTACACACCAACAGCCAAACAGCGACATGATGAAGTTAGCTGTATTCCTTTTACAAATAGAGAGTTGTGACATACGGGATGAAATCTTTAGCTATTTTTGCTCTGTTATGCCAAAGAAGTATAACTTCTTACGTGCGTACAGTACACACACACACGTTTTTTTTAACAACATTATACAAGTACAATAAGAAAGATCTGAAACGTAAGATAACGTCAAAGAATTCAAGAGCTCAAATAGTGTTAAGTTTGAACAAGTACCTTGTAGTTGAGTGTGTATTTAGAATCCGTGAATGTTAGTTCATGATGAGAAAGGTGAAGGCGAAGGGTAAGAGGATATCCGTGTATTTGAGATGAAAACTTAGGATATATTGAGCTTATGTAATAAAATAGTCATTAATCATATTGACCTTCAAGTAGTAACAGATTTATATGTATAATTAGACTTAGATTTCTAACATAGTAGTATTAATACGAAAGCGTGTCTCTTTGTATGTGTGTGACGTTATGTCATAGTGAAGCCACTATGGAATGAAGAATCTATTAAATGGTTTTCGTGAACCAATTGTTAACAAGTTAGCATTTATGAAATCTATACCATAAAGAAGAACATATTTTACGTCAATAAATCCTATAAATATCTAAACGAAGTTAAATAAACTGAATAAAATAAATAAACTGAAACATTTAATAAAAAACCATTTTAATTTTTTATCAACAATAAAACCTAGGATCTATGATCGTTATTAAATTTTAAATGGTCCTCAATTACAAGATAATAGTAATTAGTGTATGCGTATTAGAGGTCGGTCGGTAGGTCAGTCACCGTCTAAAGCCAGGACAGCTAGGACGGTGGATATTCTGTTATATACTGTTCCGCAGAGGACAACTTTTTAATGGCGCGATAACAGACCACCCGAGAGCGAGGCTAGCGTTAAATCTCAAGCTCATAAATACGTTATGTAAACCCACCCTAATAATTAGTGGCGGTTACGGCGTATAGTTAAGTTTTATGGAGCCCGTGGAGGCTCTAAGTGGGAGAGAAAGCTCGGAAAAATGTACTTTAATTTGTCTGGCGTGCGTATAGAGGCGATGAAACGGAAATTGTTATACTTATTCGTAAAATTCTTCTATCAACAGCTACCCTTTTATTTTTCCGCCGTTTTAATGCGATTGGATTCCCGTAGATACTCGTAGCGAGATCACATTGAATATGTGTAATTTAGTCTGATTCTGTGCCAACCTTCGCTTTCATTGCCCTTAGCTTTTAGAATATTGGGAAAGTAAATTTGAGAATACGAAATCACGTTTTAGGTGTATTAAGTGAATATTTAAAGGTTGAAAATGCTACACTACGAATAACTTAAGAAATTATGACTTGTGTCTTCTTTATACTACTATAGTACGTAAAAATTATGCAGCTACATACGGTGTATATATTTGCATATGTAATTATTATGAAATTAACAATAAAACTTAATATCTATGAACGAGAACAGAATAATGAATAGCTTATTTTGTATACAACGTACCTACTTACCTATATTATATGGATTAGCATATTTTGTCTAATAAATGATTATGATTATTGTTTTTGTGTATGAATAATATAAAGAAGCAATATATATATTATATTTATATTTAAAATTTACGGCTAAAAGAACTTAAATTTTTAATAAAAATATATCAAAGTTGTGCGATGGATGGTACATAGTGGGAATAAGGACGATTTTGGGCATACGATGTGTCATGTCAAGGAGCACGTGCCGGTCGCCTTGGAGGCGGCGACGCGGCCGGAGCGCGGGAAGGGTGCGAGCGGCGTGGACACAGTACCTGGCACTGTCGCTACCCCGGCACTCCTCACGCAAACGAGTCCTGCAACTATTCACAATTGTCGTAGAAACCGGCGTAAGCTCGTGCGAATGCTCGATTTACAACGTGTACGGCGACGAAGCGAGATACGGAGTCATGCGGTCAGCCAAAAGGACACAAACCTACTGGCGAGCTGGGTGTTGGTACGCGGGCGGGGCGGCGGGCGGGGGCGCGCCATTGGCCCGCCGGGGCACGCCTCCGACGACGTCGCTGCCGCCGCACACACCGCGCCGCCGCTCCGCTTCACGCCGCACGAAGCCCGCTCCCACATCAAACACTTCCATACAACATATTCGTAGCTCATACACCTAAAGCAGTTGGGTATTAGATGATAATTCAGGAAGGTGATTCTAGCAGTTATACCACTACGGGATGTTTGATTGAATTATTCTAGCTGATATAGGTGCCACACATTTTTTAACATCCGCACATCGAAAATTAGCAAATAAGCAAAGAAGGCTTCATTCCTCAATATTCGTTACTACAAAGGAACTTTTGTTTGGGTGATTCTATCTGATTTAAGTTTTACTTTTACAAGATAGTTAAATACTCCATATAAATTGAAATTTCGTTCCCAGACACTACTATTACACGTCAAAAGCTACATAAATAATTCTAAAATCTATTGTATTTTTTATCAGTCAGGTCGAAAACCAAATAGTTGAAATGGTAAATTCATGACGATCGTTAAAAAGTGTCATAATTTGATGCATAAAAGCATAAAATAATTTGAATTTTAATATATGTACACAGGTACATTGTAAAAAATATAATATGAATAGAGGTAAAACTGCACATCGACCCATTGTCGAACTAAAACTTTTTAAATTGAAAAAAATCGAACATTTAATCCAACATCATCATCGCACAAAGGTCTATTAACGTCGGAAATGAGGCTACGGCGCGGGAATTCGAACGAGTGCACGAGCGCACTGGGTTTAAGCAATTCGCTCACGTGCAGATACAAAGTAACTTTAGCCAAGCTCAGGCCTGCATCAGCATTGGACCCAAATTGTTCGGTTTTCTAACAAATATAATCAGATTATGTAGCCAACTTTACGCTGTTTTATCGAGCGTGCTGCTTAGGTCTAACATATTTTGATACTAGATTTTGTGTGGTTTTCCCTAAGCTTTCATAGTGGGTCTAGTTAAATAAATAAAAGGTAGCTTACCAAATCTTATTTGCCTATGCAACAGCAACTGAAACTATTCATCCGTTATTTTATTTCATTTAATATGTACATAAATTAATAAACATATTAGAAAATATGTGTGTTAATTAGAATATTTAATTATAATATATTATTCTCTCTTCAAACCTATTTGTAATATATGTAAGTACATAGTATGGAATATCATAGGCTGTATTCCGAAAGATATGGAATCAGTCAATGTACTTATTAGTATTGCTACGCGAAGGCTCGTAGCAAGTGACAAAATGAAATGCCGAGATTACTTATAATTTTAATACCTAGTTGAATATTTCAAATTTTTATAATGAATTGAAATCATTTAACAATAATAATTTAAAATTAAAAGGTTTTAAAGTATCTGATTTGACTTTGGGGAAATAAGCATGTATCTAAAAGCTATACATGGTGGAACAAATCGATGGGACATGGAAGAAAAGTACTTGAAATATTTAAAGTTATCATATATTATATAGTTATTATATATCATATAAAGTACCTTAAATATAGAAGGAAACATTTCTTGGAAACATTAAAAATAAAGAAATATTTCCTTTGAGTAAATCCTGATAACTTCAATATTTAAGATACTTTTCTTCCATGTCCCATCGTATTGGTCCACCCTGTATACGAAAAACAAATACATTTTATTAAATTACTAATACATACGAGTATAGTCTAGTGAAGTGGAGACTTTTATGCCATTGTATTAAGTGTAAGTGCAATTAGTGTTTTAATGAAGTGTCTCACGGCGTAATACTCGCGACACCGTAGCAATGATCACGTAGCTGCAATGGCGGACGTCATTTACATTTCAACTCATTATGCTCTAGCCTGGATGAGCTTAAGATCATTGCGCCAAGATTGCACCTAACTATTATGCATACGACCTTACTCCTAAAATATTATGTGTTTAAATAGCAGGTATTTCATTTCATGTTTTCACAGTTATATATCAAGCTAGCATTGCCCGCGGCTCCGCACGCGTTCAGATGACCAAAAACCAAATTCTTAGGTTTTACATATTAGTATAGTACTCTTACATTGCAGTTTTTGTATTTTTTTCAGAAATGAGATTTTTCCCGCGGTAAAAAGTATCCTATATGTCGGCCCGGATAACCAGCTATCACCATACTAAATTTCATCAAGATCCCTCCAGTGGATTTTCTGTGATGCGGTAACAGACAGACAGACAGACAATAATTCTAAAAACTATAGATTCGGCTTCTGTATCGATAATAATGTTTATTTCAATAAGATTTTCCAAAAATATTTTATGTACAGATTCGGCTTAGTTACAATTGTATTATTGGTATGTATAGATTTATAATTCATTTGAAATGTGCTTGGTTAGCTTAACTTATTTCTTGAATAAAAGTATTTTTCTTTTAATTTTTCACTAGATTCTGTTGTAGCAGTTGACACGTAATATGTGTGTGTGTATCATTTTTCACATTCAACACGTTTTAAAATAGCAATAATATTTAACTATCTATGTTTAACTATATTGAAGAGAAGGTTTTTTTTAACTATGTGTGACAGCAGTTCCATTCAATACAAATATATGTAATTTATTTGTACTCAATTAATAAGTGTTTATCTATACGTAATACATACATAATATACATATTATAATAAAAATGCCCTGACTTATCCAGGCCAAAGCGTGAGAGAGTATTTTGTAAACGAAAGAGTAATGGTGTTAGTAGAGATTAGAACTAGCGTATTAGAATTTTGACAACGTATCTATACTAATATGAACGTACGTAACGTAATATTAACGTAAAATTAATCTATAATAATATTATAAAGAGGCAGAGTTTGTTTGTTTATTTATTTATTTGAACGTGCTAATCTCAGGAACTACTAATCCAATTTGGAAAATTCTTTTTGCATTAGATAGTCCGTTTATTGAGGAAGGCTGTAGGCTATATATCATATAATATATAGTCTATCTATTTCACACTAATCTTTAAAATGTATCCAGGGACGAAACCGAGCGAAGCGATGGTCAGGCCCTAGTTTAATATAATGACATACTTGTAGACAATTAAGAGCTTTTTTTAAATTACCTAAAATTGGGAAAAGGCTGCGGTACGTAACATTCTTATGATAACTAGGAGGTCTTAAAGTTATGAATTTGACTTTTTATTGAAGAATAAACATTCTCACTGGAGAAAGTTCTCATTTTCATTTAACACTGGCATTTGTTTTTATTTTAAAAATATCGTATAGTCTCGATTATTGTCTATGTTTAAAAAGGTGAAGAAACTTGTTTGGCGAGATGGCGCGAGAGCTCTTTGAAATTCCGTTCCGTGTAAATTTAAAAGTTCAAAAACTGTGATCATACTTTAGACTGTTTTACGCGGTAGTTCTGCACTGTCTGCTTCGATGATATATCGTACGTACTGTTAAGTGGCATGCAAAATGTATTTATACTTTGTACTTCCTTACGTCGTTATGGCAGACTTCCAAGTAAAACAATCTTCCGCTGGCCAACGATAACAGCAGTTGCTATGACTTTATGAAGTGACACCGTCATAAAATTAAATAAAGTAAAAGCTTATTTAGCTGCGTTTAATAAACTCATGCCAATAAAATCCAATTGGTTTAATAACGTTACACAGCAGTTTTCGGTTTTTTAAATACAAGTCGTAAATAATAATTGTACAGGCTATCGGCTTTATGCGATAATAATAATTTATATCCTATTTTAAAATCGTGGGATAAAATTGTAAGTTAATGATTTTATATTACGAGTATACTAGTTTTATCTCCCAGCTATGCTTGCTATTTAAAGGGAGTGAGTGACTCGTGTGTAAAGGTAGAATCTGTAATACCTACCAGTGCGGCAATAACCAAAAATTGGCCAAGCGAATACGAGTACTATAGTAACTATTATATAGCTTAATCATTATTATTGGTGATATAAGTAAACTTACATCAACAAGCTTACTTATTGACGGCATCATGCGCTCCAAGATTCATATGAAATAAATTGCCTCTGAGTCGATATTCGGGAAGGGTCAATGAGGCGTGACTTTGACGAGGGTTGGCAAGTCTGGCAACAATGAACAATATGCAAGGAAACCGTCTTGAAGCATGTTTAACAAGAAGCGATTCAGGTGAATTTCCGTACAATCGGAATGCTCTTAGTGAAACACTTGTAGAAAATGAAATTCATAGAGGTAGAATTGACATGATTGGTGACCTTTTGGCTTTTTGTATTCCCTCTTAGAAGTCGTACATTCATACATAATGTGTGGTGAATCATCATATTTTTATAATCTATAAGAACTTTTTAGTTACTTATTTATCACACAAAGATTTACCCAAGAGTTTTTCTTTTACAGTTTGTATTTTAATACAAGAGTGTTTGTTATATATTTAAAGCATTTTTTTTTTATTATAAGGAACTAGCCAGTTTTTTCTTCTACAATATCTACCTAAAAGTAACATTTAAAAAATATGATATAAAGTAACTACTAAATTACACAAGGATTATAAATATAAAAGCCATGGAAAAATGTGGCTTTTAAATATTATGGATAACTGATAAACTAGATGCAGCATGTATTTTCACGGGAGACGTACAGCTTTCAACCCTTGTCACTGTCGCCGCGTATTGTCTGCGTTTATATCGAACTGCGATGCATTCACCATTTTGCTAACTTATCTTTTGGAATTGAGAGAAATCATTTTTCAAAGTAAACATGTCAAGCCTTTAGATTAAATAGCTATCTATATATATATAAAAGAAAGTCGTGTTAATTATACTATTTATAATTCAAGAACGGCTGAACTGATTTGGCTGAAAATTGGTGGGGAGGTAGCTTAGAACCAGGAGACGAACATAGTTTTTTTTTATCCCGTTCGATCACGTTCCCGTGTGACGTGACATAAAACTCAAGAACGACTGAACCAATTTTTATGAGATTTAATTTTTTGTATTTCTCTTAGTCCGGAATAGGATAGTAAGTATTAAAACATCAGACAAATTAACGAAAAAAGAATTAAAATTTATATGGCTTACGCTGGCTAGTAACTATTTATATCTATGTAAAACGTACCTAACGACGATCCCGAGCAAAGCGAGGGTGAGCTGC